GGAAAAGTTGTTGGAAGTACTATATATATTAAAGGACGTTAATAATAAAATTGCAACATTATATAAATCGTGATAGATGAATAATAGACTCACTGTAATTGACTTATTTGGAAAAAACTACAGCTCACCAATTTTAGTGGTGATCTAGTCGAGATTGACTATCATCACCACAAAATACCAAGTACTAGCCCGTCACAGTTAATACAAATAAATCCAGGGTAAAGTATATTTGTGAAGGAGAAAGTGTGAGACATAAAGAGCAGCATGTAACGAATGATTTCAGCAACACGAACAGAAAGTTGCGCACAAGTAAGTGTTTTTAATACGTTTAAACAAAAGGAGTATAATAAAAGAATTATTGTTACAGTTATGAACAATAATAAGTGTTTCCATTTCACCGATTGCGTTCTCTTCTTAGAAGCATTCCACTGTACATCTCTTTAAGTCCATGAATGAAAGTAAACCTACGAACCATGATGCTTATGCTGTCAAAAGGGCGAACAGCAAAGGTTTTATCAACTTAGAGATGGCTGAGATCTTTAGTGTCAACTTCATCTATCAGTAAAACCAGACACTTGCTAGCTCAGAGTACTCCACAAACCCAGTGTCACTTAGTAGTCTAGGAAGTATCCGACTTACTCTTGGCCTGTGACTAGGAAAATCTAAATCCCTGTACCCAGGAAAGTCAACAGAACGTGACACAATTAGCTACATACTCTTGAAACAGCATGAGGAAGCACTCAGTTCACCGGTATATGACAGGTTCGGGCATTCACTGGAGTCATACCAACTTCCAGCAGAATGGAAGTAAGCAAAACTCTTTCCAGCTTCAAAGAAGTAGACAGAAAAGATTCAGCTTTTAACAGGTCAACCTCAATACTCCCAACATCATCGAATGAAATGGGAGGACCGGTTAGTGAACAGATGAGTTATCACGTGGATAAGAACAACTACTGCATGAAGCCCAATAGGTATTTTCTCATGGCATGAGATAGCCGGACAACCTGCTGGGACTGAAAAACACTGGTTCATTTATTATTCCTTGAGTTTACGAGACCTTCGACACTGTATCCCATATGCTCCCAATTATAAAGGTTTAGAAGTTGGGCTTAGTTTATTCAATTTTATCTTGGCTCAGAAACCACCTAGAGAACAGAATGTTGGTGATTAGAGTGCTTGGGAGCTGGTGAGTTTCAATAACAGCTGTTTCACAGGGAACCTGATATTCATTGTTGACCTGTTATATGAAATCAGCTCAACGGGACCAATCTACGCAGATGAGGCAACGATCTGTTGGTCCCTAAGCAGCGAAAAGGATTCATTTAAGCTTCAAAAAGACCTTGAAACAATAGAAGAATCGGCAGTAGAAAACGGTTTACAACTAAACCAGTCAAAATGTAACATCATAAAAATACTGCTCCATTTATGCAAACAACTTACGTCCTCAATGGACGTCCTTTGCTAAAAGTCTCCCCAGCGCGCAATCTCAGTCTAATAATCACAAACAGACTGGACTTAACTCCAAACTACACAGGGATGCAGCCAAGGCCAACACAACCCTTCACGTTATGCTTAGAAAACTTGATGCAATCACCCGAAAACTGTTCTCAACCCTCTTTAAAATATACTCACGGCCGTAACATGAAGTTCACAATATCATGGAACTCCTTCTCTTCTAAAGACAAATCTTCTAGATCGAGTGCCGAGACAAACAAATAATTGGGTGACAGAGTCAATGAATAAACCTTTTGTAGATAGACTACAAAGCTTGCAATTATTCCTTCTGAGTTATAGGAGAATTAGAGGAGATCTGATAATGTTATATAATACAGTGAGTACTCCGAATCATCATAACATTGGCATCTTGTTGAAAATTCACCACCACGCGCCTCGAGGTAGCCCAAGGAAAACTGCACATTAAAGAGTGCACACTCAGGTTCGTGCACACTTTTTCACATTATCAGTTTTTCAGAACTTCCCAGCTTAAGTTACCACAGCCTCCCCAGTGGATAGCTTTAAGGAGAGACTTGATAAACACCTATTAATGTACGGAATATCATGGCCATCTTGGACCATTTGTTTCTGGGATATATCTCGGAACTTGCTTGTTGTTTAATCTCCTGTGTAGTCTCCTCGGACCCCTGACTTATTCTATCACTCTCATTATTTCTCTTTCATCTTCATTGCTTACATTTCGGTCGTCACACGCAATCTTCATTACTAATTAATTAACTTATTTATTTACCTGGTTCAGAAATTTCATCTTTTTGGCATGAGAATTTTCTACTTATTTTTCGCCACATTGCAACTCACTGACCTCCGGCCCGTTAATTTAATAGTTGCTGATTTCCAGAAACCCCACTGCTCTGAGTCAAATGCACTCACTCTTATTACAGGATAGACAAATTCAAAAAGAACTGCCAACTGACTAGAATTAGTGCAGTTGCGTGGCTAGACTGCTGCCCATTGGACACTACCGAATACCTGAAACCGTACGGAAGAACAAGCAATCAATTGATGCACACTAGTTAGTGGAATTATATTGAATGGACGACCTTAAAGTGCGTTTTAAAAAATGGCTGTGATTTTCGTATTGATTGTGAATTGACTTGAAATTGTGTATTTATTATATCTAAGCGTATTTGGTCTAATTTCAATTCAGTTATTTCTACTAAAGTTCGAAATCTTATTCAAATTCATTTTTCGGTACATTAGTGTCAGTTGATTCCCAAATTAACATCTTGTGTATATAGAAGTTTTTTGACCTCGAATTTGCTTTCAGTGGTCGAATGTATGTGAGTAACCAGAGTTTACTTTACTGTGGAGAAAGGGATGCAATATGATGTGTAACAACTGATCCCACAAGCTATGTTCTGTAACTGTCTGAAACTCACTATGTAAAACATACGCTCAAAGCCTAACTCTTATTGACTTTACGTGTTTTGCTGTCCGACTAAAATGTTTTTACTCCGGGAGTCTGTGTCGTTCAGGCTTTAGCCAAGAAGAAAGTTGATTTTAGTTACCCTAATAACATAGGTACTAACAGAGAATAATGTGCCAGTGTAGTATATACAGTCAAGGAAGCAGCTGAAAGCCCGTTTACAAAACGTGATATTAAACATTCCTTTAAAACCAACGAACCGAAAAATACTGTCTTCTCTTTCATAGCTGCTAACTTGGTCCGGCTTTCCCATTGTGTTGATATATGTTCGATGGGACAAATTCATCGATAAAGCAACCAGTGTATCGTCTTATTGACTTTTCTTACGTGAACAGACTGAGATGCCCCGACCTATTTGTGTTGTTGTACCTCAGTTGTGAAGCGACTTAACACTGGTTTGTTATATAGTGAATGATGATTTTGGCGTTACTGTTTTGTCTTTTCCTTCCAACATGACTGGTGATCTGAGAGGATGTTCTAGGAAGGTTCGGATTCGAGATTAAATTGTTTACGTCCGGAGTTCCATTACTCGCATGGATTAGTAAATTGCTGGGATTCCCTACCAGTACCTATGTCTTCTTTCGATGCATTCAAAACGAGATTGAATTTTCAGGGTACTATAGATTGCAAAGATTATTGTATGTCTAATAACCTCCCATCTTGTCCACTGAAGACCTATTGGTGTTAAAATGATCGCTTACGAGACTCGAAAGAGGGTTATGGATTAGTCTATATAAATAGGATTGGGATTTAAAGTTAGGATTTTCGTCACGAACTGACTAGCTATAGTGTCAAAATGCCGTTTTACCTAATAGACGACTGAATTTCGTGCCAAAACGCAAGACTTGTAAATCCCAATCTCGTCGGATTGTCTATGAAATATAGGTTCGCCGAAAAATCAAAGCAAATAAAAAATATAGCTTTATTTATTTACGGGTTCATATTTAGGATCACAATGGTGTAATCACAATATAGTGTACATACTCTGGTTTCTTGTTTGGAGATAAAGCATTGGTTCACTGTATTCCAAGCATCGCCCTTATTCCATCCCACCCATTGCCTGCAGTGGATAATGTTCTCACACCTGATATGTATTGAATCCTACTGGTCACAGTTTCTCACTAGAACTCCGAGAATTTCCTCACGATGCTAGTCAGTAATAATAATTGTCCGTATATGGTTGTGGGGCTTCGTCATTCTTAATTACCTAATTTTTCCTAAACATATAAAGCAGGAGTGTAAACTTACTTCCCTGCCACTTGGTTAGAAGATATTCGGTTTTGAGTTTGCTACAGTGAACTACTTCTTTTAGCCTCTGAAGTATTCTGCTTTGTTCAATGAGTTCTAGCAGCTGATAGTCCGCACCCAAAGGTTCACATCTCAACTTTTGAAAGCACACATCAAAACTTCCTTAAAACCTGGGTAATTTTAGTGCTCTTAAGTGTTGTAAGATTCGACGAATAATGTTGCTCACCTTCCACTTTATTGTTGATTTGTGACTATTGAAAGTAATTGTCTTCGGAAAGAATAATCACATCAAGTTGGTGGATCCTAATCGGAGTCTGGGTCAGAATACTAGTTTTAGATTTTCCCCGATTCTGAGTTGAGGAGACGGTGTAAGGTAATGACGTTCCCTCATTAAACGAATTTCTTTTCACCAAATCTGTCACATGCGATTAACATAACATTGAGGCATCAACTCGCCTCTAGAAACATCCCAAAATAAATAAGCAGTTACTCCTTTTAAATTCAACATTAGTTATAGCATTGTTTTTTTCAGCACCAGGATGTTAAAGTACTTTGTACAGTATCATTTCCGTACGAAAACTGGATAGGCGGGCAAGGGTAGTTTGGATTTTACTGGGAATATTATTTTAAAAGAGATCAAGAACCACAACTCTGGATCATAAATGAGGAGTGTTTTCATGCTTAAATACTAAAGATAATTGAAAATGTGATTGTGTTCCATACACTAATTTGAATCTTTGGAATATTTTTCTAGGTACAATCTTTTAAATGAAACAAGCCGCGTAAGTATCTTCTGGTCTACTACGTATCAATGAAAACTCCTAACAGAACACAAGACGTCTCCCAAAGGAGGATAGTCGAGGAACCAAAGATAAAGAATTTAATGCTGGATCTTGAAGATTGGTTCACTATAATAGTAAAATTTGAAAGTCTGTTGAGCTGGAAAAATCCCCGATCAACATTACTTGTGATATTTGCAATCACAGTTTTGTTTCTGTTGGTTCATATATATGAACCACCAGTTCTGCTTGTTGTGGGCTGTTCAGGATTGCTTCTAAGCTTAACAGATTATTTTGGACCTTGGTTTTTATCTAGGTAAGATGCAGTAATTAAATAATTGCCTAAACCACAGAGTGTTCAGTAAACCTCCAAGTTTCGAAGATCGTTGCTGTTATTGGAATTTCTGTAGACGTCTTGTCCAAATGCGTCATGTAATGATCAACTTCTTTATTTTCATACATAGAGTTCGATATCGAAATACGATCCTACACTTTCTAACCAGTTCGTCTCTTTTGTGCATAGTTGGATTCGTCGGACTACATATCAGTGACTTGTGTTTGGCTTATCTCTTAGTAATTATGTGTTTCACTGCACAAAAACTTCATCCTAAAGAATTACTAAAAGTAAGATTTTCCTCTGTTATCAACTTTTAAAAAACTAGCTTAACGGCTTAGGTTTACACTCACTGAATAGTTGAGCAATTACTTAAAAATAAGTCAAACACCACATGTTTTCAAACAGTGGTTAACAAAAGCCAAATAAACTACTTATCCTGATAGATAGTCATAAAATTCAACTTGGGTACCACAAAATATATCGGTCGTAAAGAAACCTCACCGTCATATGTTATCATCAAATTACCTTAATTCTCAAAATGGACCATGTTATCAACACTTATGTGATCCCCGACTGTAGCTCAAACCTTGACATGGTGGTCAGGCCTCCCTATCGTGATGACTTGACTGAGCTTTATCAACTGATACATATGTCCCTTTAGGTCTTACCATACGAGGCAGGTCGATCGGACAACGGTAATACTAAAGGCAGCAATTCAAGGTCTGGGGGCGAAGTTGTACTGCTGAATGTAGAGAGGTGTTGCAGAAGTAAGTTGTTTTCCTCGGATGACCAGCATCCGCAACGGCAGTGCCTTCTCACAAGGAAGGAAGGGGTTATAAAAGGTTGACCCTGAAAGTGTTACACCTCACCCATAAACAGTCCGTACGTGACCGGCCTCAAGACTTTTTCGCTTGGGCTCCGCGATCACGCTCCCAGGTCAATCAGACCAACACTAACCTGATTTCCTTTTCACGTCCCTCAAGAAAAACCCTTCCGAGGTGTGGTCAGCCGAGAAGTGACATCCACCCTCATACCCAGCACACGAGACCAAATCGGTCACAATCTAATCCTTCGTACAGCTCTAAATAACTCTGATTTCCTCAACTGCCTTTCGAAGACGCACATACAGGATCCAAGTACTCATTCATTTGAGGTCTCCTTGTCAAGATAAAGAACTATCGCAAATTATGCTTCACGTATCTAAAAGCCTTACTACTGCTTCTCATGGCCTCGCTGGTGTGGGAATAGCATTAGGTTCCAAGATGAAACTAGCTCTTCAGACTATATTCCAGTAGATGGCTGCCTATGTGCTGCCCGACTAAACGGAACGGTTAGCAATCAGAAAAAATAAAGACAATGACCGTTGCCTCTTCGTTTTCTATACCTACGCTCCCACTGATTGTAGTTAGGATGAGGTAAAAGATGGGTTTTACGGAAAGCTTTTTAACCTCCAAAAGGCTAAGCGCCGTGATGTGGTGATAGTGGCTGGTGACTTCAATGCCCAATTAGGTAGACTAAGTGCAAAGGAAAGAAACCTGGGTGGATCTTATGGTGTTGTCGCTCTACGAAAAGACAGTGACGACTGGCTGCCACAGCTATACTCAGATAACCATCTGTTTCTGGCAAATACCATTTTTAGACATAAGCAATAGCATCTTTTTACTTGGCGACCCCCAAAACCAACCCAACTAGATCACATCGCTATCAGCCACTTGTGGAGAGGTTCAATAGATGACTGCCGCTCATTCTTGATCACATGTATAGATTCAGATCATGCTATGACACAAGCGGGTGTTTCTTTCGCGGCTAACTGGACGTAGGAAAGACAGCAAGGGAGCCTCTTAGAGTTCTACTTAACGATAGCAAAGCCAAGAGTACATCCCCCCGACCTTAATGCGGCATTGGACTATTGATTCTGAGGTTCTATTGCAGTGTGTCATTAAAAGGAATACCAGAGAAGTACATTAACCTTTTGCAAGCTCTTTACTAGAACACTAATGGTCGAGTTGTAGATTCTGTTGTTGGAAGTGATTACCCTAAATGGTGTTCGACACGGCTCTTGGCTTTCTCCATCCTTATTCGACTTTTTCGTTGACGTGCTTCCAGAAACAACACTTGCATCATCTGACTTTTCAGGAGTTGAACTTTTACCACCAGATTCGCTGGTTGACTTAGAATATGCCAGGGGAATATTTCTAATTGGTCTTCTGACCGCCTTAAATAACAATGCAAGCATGTTCAGGATGCAGATTTCTCCCCTCCAAATGGTTTCCGACATGGACGTGGATTTATAGACCAAAGATTCTCTCTCCGTCAGGTCCTGGGACACACATCCGGACGTCCCACTACAGTTATATTCCTTGACCTTAAAGCGGTATTCGACTCTGTCGATCGTCAGGTTCTGTAATAGTGTCTGTCATTGAAAGGAATACCAGGGAAGTACGCTAACCTGGTACAAGCCCTCTACTCGAACACTACTAGTCGAGTTAGAGCTCATGGCGAACTGTCATCGGAATTGATTACTTCAAGCAGTGTCCGTCAGGGAGTTCTACGTTCTCCATTATTGTTCAACTTAGTCATAGACATGCTTTCAGAGATAACATTATCTTCGTCTGATTTTCAGTCCTGGACGTTCTCCCAGGAGACTCCCTGATGACAGTTTTTTGGTGAAGACGCTGACAAAGTGTAGTGTCTTCTGACTTCATTAAGCAACAATGCAAGCATTTTCGGGGTGCGATTCTCCCCCTCAAAACGCAAAATGTTGCTTCAGGATTAGTTTGCGTCCGCACCTGAACTAGTGATAGAGTGTGAAGCAGTTGAGCATGTTGATCGCCTCACTTGTCTGGGGAGTCTTATCAGTACAGATGGCCTAGTGACTGACGAAATCTCAGCTCGGATTCAGAAGGCTCGATTGGCTTTTGCCAACCTGTCACTTATGGCGTAGGCGAGATATCCGTTTGCTGACTAAAGGACGAGTGTACTGCGCAGTAGTTCGCTCCGTCCTACTTAATGGCTGTGAAATTTGGTCAGTGAGAGCAGAAGATATCCGTAGGTTACTTGTTTTCGATCATAGGTGTCTTTGAAGCATTGCTCGCATATCATGGGACAACACAGTGAGCAATGCTGTTATTAGGAAACGAGGGCTAGGTAGGGATGGCAGACCAATAGATGAAGTGGTGAATTTTCATCAGTGGAAGTGCATGGGACATGTGTTACGAACGCCCAACCACCGACTGGCTCGTCAAGTTATGTTTTGTGGTGTAGAGGTAGTCTGGAAGAAAGGTAGGGGCGACCAGACTGGGACATGGCACAAATCCGTGGAGTCACTGACAAGCGAACTGAACCACGCTGGTAGATGTTGACTACCCGGTTGAGGTCCGCGAGATGATAGTAATCGTTGGTTAGAGGCCTTGAATGATTTAATGCGGTATGACAACTTGAATTGATTACATACGTACATATGAAGTTCTACGTTGTAACCGACTTATGTCCGATATTGTTCGCTCAGATTCAGTCTGGATACCCACAGTCATAACATTTTCTCACTGATGTATTGTGGAGACTCTAGTGGCCCACTTTTCAAAAGATGTTATCTTGAAAGACAGGAAATTCCAAGGCTCAGAAAATCTATCTGCCCTCTTGCAATAGAAATACTCACAAGGTTCATCCTTAACTTTTTAAACTAAACTTGTGAGTGACAGGGATTCCAAACGGAGACCTATCGTAGTTAGTTTCGGAAGTCGAAAATTACGATATAGATAAAAAATGAATCCCTTAACCCAGGTAGAATTCGACTAATCTTATGCATCATTATCAGTTGAAAAACTGAAGCCTTCGCAAGTTCATGTAAAGACTCATTATTATTTTTGTTCCTTTTCTACAAGGACTAAAATTTTTTTGTGATGGTTAGCCTTACGTAGCAAATTATCTTATGAATCATTTAAACCTCGTTTAAAGCAATTATAAAAATTGGAACAATTTTTCTTTCTACAGATCATTGCTTGCACCTTCTGGTACCCTATAACTATCCTTCAGTCTTCTGCATCAAAGTTTCGGTCACGAATATCGAAGTCTTTTACCCAGATACTGCGTATGTCAAAGAGAAACACTGAAAAGGATCAGTAATATTTTCTCATTTATTATTCAATATAAGACAGCTTTTTGTTCACAAATTGTCTGACGCGTCAATAAACCATTTAACTGAAAGTTACAGGTTATATGAACTGATGCGAACATTCTGTATTTAATAAAAGTATGCGTAAAGGCAAATAGCGCGGATCCTAACCGACAACTTTGTGACGGACTAACTAGCTAAAACATGATGTGTCACTAGTTCAGGGAGTTTTTGTACAAGCACTAAGAGTCAGTTACAACTTAGAGCTTCGTACGTAAGTACATCTGTTCATGTTGCCATATCACATTAGCGCAGAGACACAACAGCCAATTTAAATCCCATAATGGTAGAGATAGTAGAAGTGTTACTGCTAATGAAGATTAGGATTTGAAGATAATATTCAAGAAGTGAGATAAGTTTAAAAAGACAAAGGTAGAGGTGTTGACCAATCCAGAAGATTAGGCTTTGAGAGAACAAAAAGAGTGGATGCACCTGCGCTATTGCAAACGATTTTGAGCCGTCATTCAAAGTCTTTAATCATCGATGAATTTCGTCTCTGATGGTTAGCGCTAAGAGAATAAAGGACGTTGAAATTGTGTGGAACTCACACCACTAAAATATACCGCTTGAGTACAACTGGTAGTATATAGTGAGCTTAATATTTCTGAGAAAACATAAGTGCTTGAGTAGAAAATATTTGACCAGAAAGGGTTTTATTAGCAAAGACAACTACAAACTTAACAAAACAGTACAGAAAGAAAAATGTTCTGAACGCAAAGTATAGCTTTGGGACGGAGACAGTTTAAAAATGAAGATACTGTACACAAATTTTTACAAACGACACGTGTACATTAGTAGGAAAATCAAAATTAGCTGGGCTGAAGTATTCACTCTTCAATTACTTAGCGTCTACCCTGATGTCGACGAACAGTTTGGTCGGAGCGACCTATGTAGAAAAGGCAACAGTAAATTACCATAAGTATGTGAATACTTTTATCATAGATTTGATTATACATTTATTTAAGACAACACATCGATTTCTGGATACATTAATACTCAAGACAAACAGCAAAAGAGATAATGCAATATGTTATGTTTAAGATAAATGTAATATGAAAATGATATGCTACCTTTTTTAATTTGGGGCTTATTGTTGATCAGTGCCAAGTATTCGTTTTCCACTACATTTTCACTATTATCTTCGACCACCTTTGAAGACTTTTTGGCCGGATTTCGCCTTTGAGCGACCGAAGTGAACCAGTGCCAAATTCCGATTAGAATGGCTATACTTAGGGCAATAACCAAGATGACCAAGAAGATTAATTTAGTGTCTACGCCTTCTTCGATCTCATATAACTATGCAAAATGATTACGAAGCAGAAATGACTTACGTTAACAGTTTGATTGAATAGCTTGTGAGCATAATAAATGTTATTATTGTCGTGATAGTAAACAACAATGGACAGGTCAAAAGATCGACCAGCTAATTCAGGAGCGGGTTTGAATCTGTAATAAAGAGAAGTCTATAAATGGTTAAAGGGACGCAGCAAAACCAACCTCTTGACCAGGCTCTAATGTTTCATGGAGGCGTTGCTTGGTAAAGTTTTGAATGTGGTAGTCATAATACATAGGGTAGTGAAGAGCTCCTTCTACGAAATCCAGTTTAAATTGTTGATCTCCGTTTTCCGGAATGCTGTTAGCCAGAGAGGCCACAACGGATGATACTTTCCCAACTGGTAGATTTATTTCACGACGTCCAGAGTAAAGACCATAGGAAGGTTTACTAAAGGCTACTAAAATACTGACGGCAGGAGATCCTTTAAATCTATCGTCCTCATTTGTTACCGAAGGTAAAAGCGTGGAGTCTTCCTCGGACAAAATAGTTGCGTCGTCAGCAAAACAACTCAGTACTTAAAAGTAAAAAGTTAACGAGTCAATAAATTAAAAGCCTGGGATCGGATTATGATGCAGCAATTGCATATATCATTTAAACAAAAACATTTACGAATTCTAAACGACAAGTATATCTAAACATCGCACTGGTCTAGGCAGAAACAATCTTATGTTCCAGATAATTTTATGTCACAGACAAGAGGATCTCAGTAAGTCCATTACGACGTGAAGCGCGCGTGTATCAGTTTAAGATCCCACGCCTCAATTAAAGTGGAGATACTAAATTGGCAGGACGAGTCCCAAAGTTGTGGCGGTAATGACAGTATTAATGGTAATAGAAAAGATTACGGATCGAATGTAGATAAGACGAAGAATGAATGCATCTGCGCCATTGAAAAAGATTTCAGTCAGTCAGTTACAGCGTAGAAATTCGTACGTAAGTACGCACATCAATGCAAGTTGCCATACTACATTAGCACAGAGACGCAATTTTCAATTCAAATCCCATAGTAGCAAAGGTACTAGAAGTATTAGTAGTAATCGGAGAGATTGGGGTTCGAAGATATTATCCAAAAAGTATAATCTACTGAAGTAAACTCAAAATCAGATACATAAAGGTAATGAAGAGTCCAGATGATTAGGATTTGCGAGAAGCAAAAGTACTGATGCACCTGCGTCATTGCAAACGGTATGGAGCTGTCACTCAAGGTCTCTAACTATAATCTAGCGGACCCCAACCAGGTAGTCAACATCTACCTACATGGTTCAGTTCGCTTGTCAGTGACTCCACGGATTTAAGCCATGTTCCAGTCTGGTAGCCCCTACCTTTCTTCCAGACTACCCGTACACCACAAAACATAACTCGACGAGGCAGTCGTTGGTTGGGCAGGTCCCATGAACCTCAACTGATGAAAACTCACCACTTCTTCAAATGATCTGCCATCCTTTCCTAGTACCCGTTTTCGAACGCCAGCATTGTTAACTCAAAGGTCCAAAGATGTACGACCAGTGATCTGAAGAAAACTATGATGGAATACCAGTATCCTACCAATATCCTCGATTCTTAGTGGCCATTTTTCACACTCGCATACCAAAACGGGATAAGATTCTTGTGAACAATTCATAAAGCGTTATATAGTTTGAAAGATTAATAGTATACTGCTAGACATTTGCGAGGATATATTTGAAATGCGAGATTCAATTACTATGTGTTCTAGATGGACGTAATAAAACGGGTTCCATGAAGAGATATCAGTGGACATAAGCTGAGACGCCCCAACATACTTTACGACCTACCGAGAGCAAGGATGGCTTTCGGTTTAGTCACTGAATTATTCGATGAATGAATATTTCAGTATCAATATGTACACTTACTCTCATCGAAAAGTTATCATGGGGCGAGATGATCTCAGAAAGTTCAAAAATTGCGAAAAAATCACTCATTTTTCAGAAATGAAATAAAAATGACTTACAATAACTACTGTGCAGAACGAAGCACCATAGAAGGTATACAGCTTTACAAGATCGCATGCTAAAATATTGCGTTGAAGGACGTCAACTATACGTGTCACACAGACTCTTAAAGATCGATTAAAACAAAGTAATACTTATCTTTAAATATGTTTCCTGTTTATTGTATATAATATTAAAATACTATTATTTGAAAATGAAAATAAATTAGCTAACATCTTTGAGCGCCATTATTAACTCCTTGTTGTTAAGGATGTCGTACGCCTATCTGTTTAAGTATATAATAATAGGGGATACAGGTAAGTATAAAGTATTCAATCTAATCACCTGAAATCAATCCAATGTGATACACTTTCAGCACAATCAACCCTTTATTAAAAATGATGGTCTGCTTTTTTAGGTACTTATATTAGGCTGTTGTACGCATGGATCTCATATGTACATTAAAATTAGACGATTTCCATAGACGCCCAATTGTTTCTCATCTGCAATCAGTATTTACATATGTGTGTTTACTGAGGAAGTTTGTCGAGGTTACAAATCACTAGATGTGTAACAGTTTTGGATTCCACCTGTGTACTCAGTTCCTTTATGAAGTGAAAAATAAAATTTCGATTTTTAAGGCCCAAATTAATCTATATACATAGTCCTTGTGGTTCGTGAATCATATTAGCTGTCTCACTTGTCTTGTGAGGACCTTTCAGATTGTCTTAAGGTTCATACACAAGCTGAAAAATTCACCTTTGAAGGGGACAGTATATCTTATCCAATGATATTTAATGTCAATATAAACTTCATTTATATTTATTTAGTCTTATGTCAATTTGACACGAAAATAACCAAAATTGTTGCATTCCTCATCGTAATATCAATGTACTACTATAAAGTCATTTTCGGCCCATTTAACATAATAAATAGTGTCATGGTCGTGACCGGTGGTTAGAGACTTTTAATGACATAGATCAGGATCGTTTTAAATGGCTCAGATGCACCCATTCTTCGTCGTAGTTTTTCTAATTCATCGTTATTAACAGTAGTACCCATTTTCAATTCCTATCTCCAATCTTGTGATACGTGTAAACGTTATTAGGTTGCACATGGCCTGTCAAATTAGGATTATGACCCGAGAAATGCAATAAATAACATTCCTATTCTTTTTGTCCACTCAGACTACACAAAATATATGTTGCTGCTTCTGATCGCTCATCAACTACTGTGTTTTACTACCAATTTTATCATATTTTGTAGTAGTCATCCTGCCGCGCTACTGTATGTCCATGAGTCTAATCTGTTTCTTCGTACGAAATCGATGTTTCCAACTTGTCATTGTATATGTAACTCAAAAAAGCCCATTAGTTATAAAAATCATATCGTAACTAGGTTTAAATTAATATATCCTCACATATACCTACTATTTGTTTGGAAGAATCGTGTTTTTGGAATTGACTTTAAGCTATTTTCAGTATTCCACTGTTATTTTACTCTTGTAACTACCATTACCACCGTTATTTCTATCATTATAGTCCATAGTCGCGTGAGCGCTGTCCGACTAAGCGGGACATTAAGGACCCGATATGACATACCCGCCGTCGCCTTTGCTTTGTCTCTACCTACGTTCCCACTGTCAGTCAGTCAGTTACAATGTAGAATTTCGTACGTACGTACATCAGTTCAAGTTGCCATACCACATTAGCATAGTCCAGTTCAGTTCAAATCCCATAGTGGTAGCGATAGTAGATATATTAGCAGTAATGGAGATGGTAGGGGATTCAAGGGCCCAAGCTAATGAAGCCCGTTAACCCTTTGACATAAAGTTCGGACATTAAAAACTTCGATATGTAGTATAGAATTGGGTTTCAGGATACCAGGAATGTCTCGTGAGCTCGAAACGTTTGCAGCAGCGGTGCTAGGTGACAAAGAAACGAAAGAAGGGAAGGTCGTGGAGATAAGTGAGATGTTAGGGGGTGTAGGAAGGATTTGATTGTGACTGATTTGGTCTCGTGTGCTTTTACAGGTATGAGGGCGGTCGTCACTTCCCGGTCTCTTGGTCTTGCTACCCCCAGATACAGATACAACACAGAACTTCGTATGTATGTACATAATTTCAGGTTGCCATAGCGCGTTAGCACAGATGCGCAACCGTCAGTTCAAATCACAGAGTGGAAGCAATACAAGAAGTATTAGCAGTAATCGGAGAGATTAGGGTTCGAAGATATGATTCGAGAAATACGATTCAGTGAAGTAAATATAGAAAGAGAAAGATAGAGATGATGAGGAGTTCAGAAGATTAGAATTTCAGAACACACAAAGAATAAATGCACCTGCGCCATCGCAAACGATTTCGAGCCATGTCGTTCAAGGTCTCTAAGCATCGGTGACCGTCTCGCGGACCCCAACCAGGTAGCCTTCATCTGCAGTTGTTGCTTGGGCATTCGTAACACGTCCCAACCACTTCAATTGATGAAGTTTCAATACTTCATCAATTTTTCTGCCATCCTTACTTAGTACTCGCTTCCTAACTACAGCATTGCTTACTCGGGTGTCCCAGGATACACGAGCAATGTTTCGGGGACATCTATGATCGACGACAAGCAGTCTACAAATGTCTTCTACTCCCACCGGCCACTCTTCTCATCCGTATAGTAGGACGGAGCGAATTACTGCGCAGTGCACTCGTCCTTTGGTTAGCAAACGAACATTCTACCTGCACCGTAAGTGACGCAAGTTGGCAAAAGCCTATCGAGCCTTCTGAATCTGCGCCGAGATTCCGTCAGTCACCAGGCCGTCAGCACTGATGAGACTCCCGAGATAAGTGAAGTGGTCTACACGTTAGACTACTTCACTCCCTATCACTAGTTCAGGTCCAGTTAGGCGACCATGTAAGTGATTCCTATCCGGAGGCGACTTGGAATGATATCAAAATGGCTGTGGAAACAGCGGTGATATCTGCTAGCATGTAAACCATATGGTTAAGGAAAAGTGTTGGATTACAGTAACATCCATCGAACTGATAGATGCTCGGAAACTCATCAGGTTTAGATCTGAGTATGATGAGGAGCGGATTAAACTTATGCACAGACTGATAAAAAGCCTACTCCATGATCGCGAAGAGTGGTGAGTAGCGAAAGCAAAAGACATGAAAAAGGCAATGACGATAGGCAACAGTAGACAACTATTCAGACTTATAAAGTAAACCGGTATTAGGAATTTGAATATAAATGAGACTATTTCGGAAAAAGATGATCTTATTATTTATTCTCAATCCAGGAGATTAGTTCGATGGACAGAGCACTTGAGTAATCCGTTCAATTGGCCTGCAGCCACACTTCAGTTACCCACGATCCCCAATCATCCTTAATGATAAATCTATGTAAGTCCTCCGAGTCTTAAGTAGAATTTGGATACTAAGCGTTATCTCATTCTACTGGTCGCAGTCACTAATTTTCCCAATTTGTAAGAAAGGAGAAAAGTCCTCTTGTGACAGTCACTCGGGAATCAGTCTAGCTAATTTGGTGTCTAAATTGTTAGCCTTGGTAATACTTCAACGACTAACTAGAGCTCATGAAGAGCAGACTCGAGAAAACCAGGCTGGTTTTCAACCTGGACGTGGATCTATAAACCAAAGATTCTCTCAGGTCAGGTCAAGTCCTGGAACATAGACACACGTTCAGACATCCCACTATAGTTATATTCCTTGACCTTAAGGCTGTATTCGACTCTGTCGATCGTCAGATTCTATGGTAGTGTGTCATTGAAAGGAATACCAGAGAAGTACGCTAACCTGACACAAGCCCTCTACTCGAACACTACTAGTCGAGTTAGAGCTCATGGCGAACTGTCATCGGAATTGATTACTTCAAGCAGTGTCCGTCAGGGAGTTCTATGTTCTCCATTCTCGTTTAAATTTGTCATAGACATGCTTTTAGAGATATCTTCTCCTGAGCTTTAAGGAGTGACTTCTAACAGGAGATTCACTGGTTGACTTGGAATATGCCGATGACATAGTTCTACTTGGTGAAAACGCTAACTACGTTAAGCAACAATTCACGTTTGGGATGCGGTTCTCCCCCCACGAAATGCAAAATGTTGCTTCAGAATTGGCTTGTATTGGCACATGAACTAGTGATAGTCAGTTAGTCTTTTACAACGTAGAACTTCGTTCATGAGTACATAAGTTCAGGTTGCCATACCGCATTAGCACAGAGGCGCAAATGTCAGTTCAAATCACAGAGTGGAAGCAATACAAGAAGTATTAGCAGTAATCGGAGAGATTAGGGTTCGAAGATATGATTCGAGAAATATGATTCAGTGAAGTAAATGTAGAAAGAGAAAGAGATGATGAGGAATTCAAAAGGTTAGAACTAGTGATAGGGTGTGAAGCTGCTGAGCATGTTGACCGCTTCACTTATCTCGGCAGTCTCATCAGTGCAGACGGCCTGGTGTGTATGTGTGCTCTCAAATCTTAATCTTCTGTAGTGGTCGACACCTCTACCTTTGTCTTTCTAAACTTATCTCACTGAATTATACTTCTTGAATATTATCTTCAAATCCTAATCTTCTCCATTAGCAGCAATACTTCTACTATCTCTACCACTATGGGATTTGAATTGGCTGTTGTGTCTCTGCGCTAATTTGGTATGGCAACTTGAACTGATGTACTTACGTACGAAGCTCTACGTTGTAACTAACTGACTGATATAAGGCACTCCGTCTTTCACGACATGTGAACTGATCCTATCATCTACATCACCACCAACTCTCATACTGCTACCAAAATATATGAACGTTTAGACTGTTATTGGAAGTTCATCTTATGAGGTTAGTTTAGTCACCCCATCCCACCAGCTCTGCAGCAGTAATTAGTACTTTAACTATGCAGAAAGCATGACATATTCACAGACACTAATTACCAAGAACTTAGTTGCCGTTTGGATAGTTTTCGTATTATCTAACAGTCTCATTTACGTACTCAAGGTTGATAAGTTTCTCCATTTTTACACCTCTTTTTATGTAACAGATATTTTGAGATTCTTTTAGATTTGGATATTTTTGTAGTAAATTACATCTGTGGTTGTTCTTCTTAAATATTTATACAGGCGTGGGAAAGTCATGTTTATTATTGCAGTTTACTGACAAACGATTCCAACCGGTTCATGATTTAACCATAGGTGTTGAATTCGGTGCTCGAATGATCAATATAGACGGAAAACAAATCAAGTTACAAATATGGGATACGGTTGGTGACATTTTGTAAGTCTAATTCTCTTCCAAGGCTGGACAAGAATCATTTCGATCGATTACTCGATCTTATTACCGTGGCGCAGCCGGTGCGTTACTAGTGTATGATATCACTAGGTAATTTGTTGTCTTAATCTCGTAATTTGTTTTTTTAGAAGAGAAACATTTACTCATTTGACTACCTGGTTAGAGGATGCAAGACAACATTCAAGCTCTAACATGGTTATTATGCTGATAGGAAATAAAAGTGATTTGGAAAGTCGACGCGATGTTAAAAAAGAAGAAGGTGAAGCATTTGCTAGAGAACATGGCTTAATTTTTATGGAAACCTCAGCCAAAACTGCTGCTAATGTTGAAGATGCCTTTATTGATACAGCTAAGTGTATACATGAAAAAATCCAGGAAGGGGTTCTTGATGTCAATAATGAGGTGAATTTCTCCTTTCAACCAAAATATTGATACTTTTATGTTGAAAATTTAAATAATTTTCATGACATATTTTAGCAAATCTGGCGATTTTAATATCATTTTAAAGTTTGACGTAAAGTGTAGAAGTGATCAAAATACCCATTTTTCAGAAAAAGATATTAAAGCAAGTCGAATCTGAGTAGAACATGTTACTCCATCATTTGTGATGTAAATTCTGTGCATTAAAAGAGTAAGACTGTTAAATATGAACTAATACTTCCATACTTATGACCAATTTGGGATTTTAAAAAATTTCCACTGATATTCTTGGTCCACTGAAACTCAATGAATTCACAATACTCACTAAAACCTAGGTACCTTACCTCTTAACTTTGTACATACGGTGTCAATTAGTGGACATATCTCGATTCGATAGATAGAATTCGATTAGCACTGAGAGGGACACACATGACATTGGTCAATAAATTGTGAAAAACCTGAGTGCTTGTTTTGCACGTTTCTCTCTACACTGATGTATTGAATTTCACCACATGAGTCCAACATTCTTAGGATGAAATCATTCTTTTGTGCTAGAAATTTTTTCCTCTATTATCTCCCTGAACAAATCGTTTTTATCTTTCAAGTTATACACTGACAAAGATTAATCCTGAGAAAAAGTCCAAGTTACAACTAGATTGCGATCTTCTAGACTACCAGTTCGGTCCTATGCCATATAGTGTACGAAACCTTCCAACTTCAATATATATTTATGGCGTAAACAATTGACTGCATTCCTTGTTGCATTCCAAAACATTCTGAATCATGTGTTGAAACATCGATATCAAAAATCGTTTCTTCATTATCAATTAAAAAAACCTACTTTTAGACTAATTATTTATACAATCCTTAATATACACGGTCGTTAAAGTTTTGCTTTTGTATTCACAAACAAGAAAAATTTGTATCTAGACCTAATTCTTTTGATTGGTTAATGCAGATTCTCATATTCTCCAGAATTTTCGGTCACTTAGTTAAATACCTTTGAAAACTTCAGAGTGGTGCAAGTAGGTTTAGACTACTAGTTTGAAGTCCATTCAATCATTGTGACCAAATGCTCGAGACTTTTCGTGATACGATTTAGAATACTTCTCAGTAGCGTAAATTTCATCACTTTATGTTCCCTGTTATCCAAGGTTTCTTAGTTATCTTTGAGAAAGCTTCATTCTACTAATGATATCTTGTATGCCTAAGATTTCCTCCTGCTAGTAAGATTGTTACTGTCTATATTACTCTTATATGTTGTACTAACTGATGTATCAGGACGAAAATTTAAAAAAAGTAACTTCCACGATTGATTGAACAATTACTATTTATATTTCCTCTGTATAATTACACCTTGTAAAAGACTTTTCTTTGTATTGCTGAGATCTTTCTTTGATATCTTGATAAGGCGTCCTTCTTTCCAGTCTCGTGGTACTTGTTCTTCCTCTCAACTCTTGCTGAAGAGAACATGTAGTGTTTTTGCAGTTACTACTACGTCTACTTACAGTGCCTATGCTGAAATGTTGTCTTGTCGCGCTGCTTTGCCGCTCTGGATTTGTCGGATGGTTATACTGTTGATGGGTAACATTGATTGAGAGGTTCGTAGATGCTGCTTCGATGTTGGGTGGGTTCAGTGGTGCTGGTCGACTCAAGAGTTCTTCAAAGTGATCTACTCACCTGCTTTGCTGTTCTTGATCGGTCTTTACCTAATTTCCCAATAAGCTTCTTCGTCACATTGCAGCTTTTTCCACTTTCATAGCTAAGTCTTCCATATATTTCCGATTATCATCCCTAGAGCTCCTCTTCAGTTCCTTGTTCGCCTCTGTGCATTCAGACTTTGCTTTACTCTCCTCTGATATTGCTTGACTGTTGTTAATTACTATCTTCCTGTTCTCCCTTTCTTGAACTTGCCCATATTACCAACGTAGATCCACTCCATGTGATGATGCTTCTGGTGGCCCAAAACTTCACGACATGTCGGAGTTATTACTTCCTTGATCCCTTTCCAGTTGTCCTGCATCGTAATTTCCTCTTCATTGAGTAGATCGTGAAAGGCTCGGAACTTATTGTTGAATTCATTAGTATCTCGAAAAAAAGGCTGTGTTGGAATTTCATAATGCTAAGTATCCAGTTGTCCAATGTTTCTTTAGCTTCAGTTTTATCTTGAGCAGCTAGTGACCTGAAGCTATGTCAGCACCTTTTATGGTTCTCACGACTTCCAATGGTCCTTCTGAACTTTCTCTTAATGCAGATGTAATCTATTTGGTTCTGTTTAGTGTGATCCAGTGATGCCCGTGTGATTTGTGTATGGGTTTGTGTGTAAATATTGTGGTGTCTCTTACCATTTTGTTGGAGTTACATAGATTTGCAAATCCCTCACCGTTTTCGTTCCTTTCTCCCAGTCCATGTCGTCTCATGATGTCTCTGTATCCAGTGTTATCTATTCCAGCTTTTCCCGACCGTAGCTGCTACCTTGACGTGGTGTTCGGGCTTGCCTATCGTGATGACCCAACCGAGCTATATCGGCTGGAACATATGTTCCTGAAGGTCCTACCATACCAGACAGGTCGATTGGAGAACGATGAGACTAAAATCAGCTACTGAAGGTCTGAGGGCGAAGTCGTACTGCTGACTGCAGAGGGGTGTGACAGCAGTACGGTGTTTCCCTCGGACAATTAGCATCTGTAGCGATGCTGCCTTCTCACAAGTAAGGAAGAGTTAGAAAAGGTCGACCCTGACAATGTCACACCTCACTCTACCTCACGGATTTCCGTCTCCGTCGGTAAGAGTGCCCACTAAGGGCCTTCAAGAGCGGAGCTAATACTCATAAAACTTCTCATGAACAGGCCGTGCGTGACCGGCCTCAAGCAGTTGTCCCTTGGACGCTGCGGTCACGCTCCCAGGTCGTTCAGATCAACGCTAATCTACCTTCCTTTTCAGGTTACTAAAGACACAATCTTCCACGGTTTGGGCAACCGGGAAGTGACAACCGCCCTCATACTCGTAACATCACGAGAGACCAAATTGGTCGAAATCAAATTCTTCCTACACCCACACATACCTCTCTTCTCTCCACAACTAAATCTACTCACATTCCGTTATCTCACTGCACCGCTAATGAAAACGAAACGTCATCCTTGGTCTTTTGAAACCCCGTTCTAGACTACATGTTGGAGCTTTTAATGTACTGACATTGTGTCCAATAGGGCAACAGGCTTCCTTAGCTAGGACTTTAGAATCGCGTGGCATCGATGTGTGCTGCGTCTCGAAAACGCGCATACAGGATCCTAGTAAATTAATCTGATTTCACCTTGTCAAAATAAAGAAGCAGCTCGATTTACTCTTCGTGTATCCGGTAGCCCTGATGCTGCTTCCAGGGGTCTTGCTGGCGTAGGCATAGCATTGAGTCGTAGAGCTGAACAATCTCTCCTTGACTGGATCCCAGTAGATAGTCGTTTGTACGCTGTCCGACTAAACGGGACAGTAAGGACTCGGAAGTATGGGGACACTCGCCGTTGCCTCCTCGTCGTACCTTCCTATGCCCCCACTGACTGCAGTTCAGAAGAGGTTAAAGATGAGTTTTAGAGGAAGCTTTCGGACCTCCTCCAAAAAGCTAGGCTCTCAGATATACTAATAATCGCTGGTGACTTTAATGCTCAAGTAGGTAGACTAAGTGAAAATGAAAGACACCTGATGGGATCTTATGGTGTCGCGGCTCAGATAACCAACTATTCCTAGTGTGAGCTCGTATTTGTTTGAGGCGTACTGGACGTAGGAAAAACACCGTAAGGAAGCCTCTTAGGGTTTTACTTAATTATAATAAAGCTAAGAATATATTTCAGGAGCAACTAGAAAGTGAGTTAGGCAACCATGTAAGCGATTCCAATCCGGAAGCAGGTTGGAATGATATCAAAAATGTTGTGGAAACAGCAGTGATATCTTCTAGTAAGGTAAACCATAAGGCTGGAAGAAGCCGTGAATCTCAGTAGCATCCACCGAACTGACAGACGCTCGTAAACTCATCCCATCTAGCTCCAAACAATACGAAGAGCGAAGTTAACTTAAGCGCAGGCTGATAAAAAGCCCACGCAATGATCGCAAACAGTGGCGGGTAGTGAAATTGAGAGAGATGGAAAAGGCAGCAGCGATAGGCAACAGTAGGCAACTATTCAGACTCATCAAGGAAACCGGTATCAGGAACCCGAAGGTCAGTAAGACTATTTCGGAAAAAGATGGTCTTATTATTTATTCTCAATCCAGGAGATTGGATTGATGGGCAGAACACTTTATGAATCAGTTCAACTGGCCTCGAGCCACTCTTCGGTTACCCACGATCTCCAGTCATCCTGAATGGCAAAGCGATGTAAGTTGTCCGACTCCTTATAAAGTTGAGAAAGCGATAGGAAATCTGAAGTGAGTGAGAACAGCTGGTCCCGATAGACTTACACCTGAGATATTTAAGGATGGTGGTCCAGTTTTAGCAGCCAGATTGACTAAGATCTTATGTAGAATCTGGGAACTGGACGTAATCCCATCCAAATGGTCACAATCACTGATTGTCCCAATTCATAAGAAAGGACAAAAGTCTTCTTGTGAAAATCACAGGGGAATAAGTTTAACTAATTTGGTGTCTAAATTGTAAGCCTCGATAATTCTTAGACGCCTAACTAGAGCTCGTGAAGAGCAGACTAGAGAAAAACCCAGGCGGGTTTACGACATGGACGTGGCTGTATAGACCACATTTTTACACTACGACAGGTCCTGGAACATAGACACACATTTAGGCGTCCTACAATAGTTGTTTTCCTGGACCTAAAAGCGGCATTTGACTCTGTGGATCGTGAGGTTCTGTGGCAGTGTTTGTCATTAAAAAGTGTACCAATGAAATACATTAACCTTATAAAAGCTCTCTACTCGAACACCACTGGTCGAGTGAGAGCTTATGGCAAACTGTCACCGGAATTCTTTACTTCAAGTGGCGTCCGTCAGGGATGTCCACTCTGTCCATTCTTGTTTAATTTTATCATCGACATGCTCCTAGATATAACCTTATTGTCGTCTGAATTTTCAGGAGAAGATCTTTCACCAGGAGGCTCGCTTATCGACTTAGAACATACCGATGACATAGTGCTACTTCGTGAAGACGCTGACAAAATGCAAAGTCTTCTGACCACCCTAAGCAACAATGCAAGCATGTTAGGGATGCGGTTCTCACCCTCGAAATGCAAAATGTTGCTTCAAGATCGGGTTTCATCTGCACCTGAACTAGTGATAGGGAGTGAAGTAGTTATGCGTGTTGATCGCTTCACTTATCCGCGGAGTCTCATCAGTGCTGATGGCCTGGTTTGTGATGAAATCTCAGCTCGATTGGCTTTTGTCAACCTGTGTCACTTATGGCGTAGGCGAGATATCCGTTTGCTGACTAAAGGACGAGTGTACTGCGCAGTAGTTCGCTCCGTCCTACTTAATGGCTGTGAAATTTGGTCAGTGAGAGCAGAAGATATCCGTAGGTTACTTGTTTTCGATCATAGGTGTCTTCGAAGCATTGCTCGTATATCCTGGGACAACACAGTGAGCAATACTGTTATTAGGAAATGAGTACTAGGTAAGGATGGCAGATCAATAAATGAAGTAATGAAACTTTATCAGTTGAGGTGGTTGGGACATGTGCTGCGTAAGCCTAACCACCGACTGCCTCGACGAGCTTTGTTTTGTAGTGTAGGAGTAGGTTGGAAGTAAGTTAGGGGCGGCCAAACCAAAACATGGCAGCAATCTATGAAGTCATTGACAAGTGGACTGAGTCATGTCGGCAGGTGTCGACTACCTGGTTTGGGTCGGCGAGATGATAATAATCGATAAATAGAGACCCTGAATGACATGGCTCAAAACCGTTAGCAATGGCGCCGATGCATTTATTGTTTATGTTCCCTCAAATCCTAATCTTCTGGATTCTTCAACACCTCTAGTTTTGACTTTCTAAACTTTTCTCACTGAATCATACTTCTTGAATAATATCTTCTAACCCTAACCTCTCCGATTACTTCTAATTCCCTTACTACCTCTTCTGCTATTGAATTTGAATTGACAATTACATCTCTGTGCTGATGTGGTATGGCAACATGAACTGATGTACTTACTTAAGAAGTTCTACGTTTTATCTGACTGACTGATTCCAGCTTTGGCCTTTAGGTATCCCATCAGAATAGTTAAATCACTAGACGGGCATTTCTCTACAACTAATTACAGTTTCTCATAGAATTGATCTTTATCATCTTCATTGCTATCGTTGATGAGCGGATAGCTCTGGATGAAATTCAGGGTAATCATGTTCTTTGTTTTGAAGGAGTCTTCGGTGATCCTTGGTTTATGATATTCCTATCCCACGAGTGCTTTTTGGGCTTCTTTGGATAGTATCAGTGCTCTTGAGTAATCTTTTTAATGATGTCGAGTGTCGTATGCATAATGAGTCAACATTCCTCTTGTGTTTCTGGTTAAACAAATGTTAATCACTGCATTATTGTTTTCTTCATTACCCCGAATAATGATGATCTTACTGATACTCTTTTTGTCTGTTTTTATATATATGATAATCAAAACTGTCTCTAGGAATAAAATGCATGCTTTACAGCCCAGATGATTGATGTAACGCATTATTTCTTTGCCTATTAAACAATTTGTCTTTTCGAATGAACCTTAATAATAGTACCTCCTTTAAGATGAAGAATTGAATTATTGTATCTTGGTTAATATATCCAAAGTTATCTACTTAGTTATAACCTGCTTCCGCAATAAGAAAGTTACAAAAAGTCTGGAATGATGTGGGTCTGAGCATACACATTGACACGCATCACATTGCTATAGTAAGTTGGAAGTAAACTAACTAAGAATGAAGGGACAAAGAACTTTGATAATGCGTAAAACAGTTAGCAATAACGAGGGGGGTTGTGAAACGAAAAGTGTCAAATATCAATAAGCCTTTAATTTAGGGAATAGGATTAAATAAAAGCTTCTCTTTCTACAACAGATTTTTAGTTATTTCACTTCTACCCACAGGTTACAGTTATCTCGCAAAATTTAACAATGAGATCTCTACTCTCAACCCACTTCACGCTTCCTCTTACTTTAAGTTTGTTAACTAGTTTACCTTGTCACTGTAACCATCCTAGAAACGTGTGATCTAATGTATGAAGTTCAGGTATCCAGACTAACACATAACTAGTTATTATGAAATCATTCAAAAGACAAACCGTTACAACTGAATATGAGTTTATTCACTCAGATTTGAACAATCCATTGTATAACAATAGTAATAATACTTGGTTCCTCAAGACGAAATAGGAGAGGCGAAGATTCAGTTCTAGAATTTCATATCTAAGATCTGAGTTCCGCAAGCACTAAGTCACCACTCGGTTACCAAACATATAATTTGGTATGTGATCATATTATTTAACTTGGCTACTAATTGTCTGTATTTAATTTGGTCTACATAAAAGACTAGCTATGTGGTTTACTGAGTGTTGAAAATGTGAAGCAACTTGAATCAGGCTGGCTGTTTACTGACTCCCAGTCTGTTGTTCCACATTAGTTTTTGAAATATTTGACGAATAGTTCAAATACCACAATTTTAAACCCAACGTCAATTCAGGTTCTGTTTAGGTTTTCACTCATTCTACATATGTATCCACAGCCTAGTGGCATAGATGGCTACCACCTAATTTTTTTATCAGCATTTACACTACCAGAAAATGTTCTTGTTTCTAATCGTTTATATATTACATTATTTTACAAGGCAAACGGTATTAAACTTGGACCGCATCATAACCCGGTGGCTGGAGCATATAGTAATAACATGACAAATCGTACTTCTGGTGCTGGTTGCTGCTAATTACCGATGAATACCATATTTATGGACCGCTTGTGCGCTTTTGTTTTGGTTGTTAGGAGAAGAAACTTCATTAAGGTGGACAATATACAAACTGATAATAATATTGAACTACATTTCGTGTTTATTTGTTTCTTTGCACTTGTCTTCTTCCTTATGTTTTGAGTAATTCCCATAATCTATGTGATAAATGTGCAACCTGGTAATTGATTCATTCTGCTTACGTACATTTCGTTTTCTTTTTTATATCATATTATCTTTTTCCCAGTTCCTGTGTACTCCCCTGCTCCTTTTATCAATACTTTCTACTTTCATGTTCTCTCTTTAAATCAGCTGACGTTAATGTTTCTTCGATATGCATCATGTTTTAAATAAATAATACACAAGTATCATTGTTGCTCATCAAATTCAACCATTGTTCATAATGCAAAATCAATGACCAATATGTTTTTGTTCGTTTTGTCCTAATTCAATAAAAATTAACTGTATTAAATGACATTTAACAAAATATAAGTTAATGAAGAATTTGTTAGACTCGATTATCAATTGGCATATACTGTCCCTTCTTGTTTTGTTCTCAATATATCTCATGACGCATATGACATGTACACGATATCTTTTTCTGTGTGTCTCTCTCCCTTTCTCTAAATATATCAATGTATCACTGGGAAATTCAGTAGGTGGGAATTGTCTACTATTTTGGTTAAATCAACATTCTAATCTATAGCTCACGAATTACTACATCCAGTAAAATTAGTCAAAAGAAGAACAAGTAAACAAGTGGTGTATTTGTCTATTTTGTATTTGTTACATTCTTAACCTAGAAAAAAAAGCAAATTAATAATTTACTTTCAAATGTCTTTGTCTGTCCATTTGATATTTGTGTATGTTTACTCTGGAATATTTCACTTTTTCCTCCATTTTCAACAATGTCTGAACACGATTTCAGAAGAAAAACTACACATAAATATCTAAGATAAAGTACTCCATATATTCTAATGTGTGTTAACTGTGCTGAACCTTTTTCGTCTTTCTACTAATTATTATCTATTTTTATTGTTGTTGTGTATACATTTGACGGTGTATTTCTCATTCTTACATTTATGTTATTTGGTCAATTGTTCATTCAATTGTTGTTGTTTTCAACATTAGGTCATATAAAATATTTGTAAGAATGGTCTAGTGTGCACAATAATAGTGATTAGCTGTTAAAGAATCATTCATTTTTCAACTAATAAGTCATGTTTTCAAACTCAACTGCATATATTTCCTTTTTGAGTAGCCGGATTTTAAAGCTAGACCTCACAAAAATTGTCAGGCTTCAAAGCCAGTTGATTTCGTAAACATCTACTTGGTAAACAGATTACACCAACTTAATTTTGTCCTGAGAAACTTTAACCCGACTATCATAATAGTTTCATTATGCTGTTATTGTTTGTTAAAGCAATAGCTTAGGGTGAGAATGATGCAATACTTTTATGTAAGTCCATTCTATGTACTAAACTTCGAACTGTTATGTAATATAGTTAGCTCACTAACTATGTGCATTATTTACAGTCAGTAATATGAAGCCAAACATGTTTATTTATTTACTGACTTGCATTTTATTAATCTAATTGACTTAATGATAATTTATTTAGTTAATTGAAGAAGTTATCCTAATCGAAAATAATGTTTTGTCAATAAATGGCTAAAGTGTTTAGATATGATTGCACCGGATTTTTGTGCAATCGTAGAGACAGCAATTGATTATGATTAGAAGTCTCGTTATCGGTTGTACGTATTTTCGATAGAAATCGTAGTTACATTACTTAACTCTCATTTATTCAATTAGAGATTTTAATCTAACAGCACCCACGTTAGTTCAGATACGATCTCGACTTCGCAAAATGATGTGGTTCTTCTACCTCACATGTAACAACAAATGCAAGAGAAGACGACCACAGTTGCAGCAGCTGGTCTCCACACACAGAAAGGGAAAAGCAACATTTTCCGATACAACACAACATGAACCAAACAAACCACACTTAACGGCGAAACTTTGGGATGCGCGAAGAAATTTACATATTTGGACAGGATCATTGGTGAGCAAGGTGGATCCAATGCAGGTGTGAAGGGACGGATTGGCAAAGCCAGGACAGTATTTCTACGATTGGAGAACGTGTGGAACTCAAAACGACTGTCTGTTAACCAAGACGAATTTCAAAATATCCAATAAAAATGTGGAAACCCATTCTACTGTAATAGGGCGGAAACTTGGAGAACTGCGAAAGCCATCATCGACATGATACAGGTGTTAATTAAGAGCTGTGTACACAAAATATTTCGGATCCGTTTACCAGACGCTATCCGCAAACAACTTATTGTAGGAGATAACAAACCAGATTCCAGTAGGGGTAGAAATCACGAAGAAGCGCTGTCGGTGAATAGGACTCACATTGAGGAAAGCACCGAACTGTGTCACAAGCCAAGCCCTCGCTTGGGACTCTCAAGGCCAAAAAAGAGCGCTAGACCATACAACGCTGCGCTGAGAATAAAAGGTGGACATGGAAAGAATGAATAGCAGTAGGTAAAGGAAGGCCTAAGACAGAGTTAGTTGGCAAATGCTGGTCGGCGGCCTATGTTCCACTTGGGGCAATCAGCCTAAATAAGTTAGGCGTCTACCTACTAACCTCTGATTGTTAATGAATCCGCTCTATATTTCGCTAAGTAGCCGAATCTGGAAATGTGAACCAGTTAGTCTATATCCAGTTCTTCTTTACTTCTGTTGCTGCATCATTTATCTGCATAATACATTCCGCTTATCTGATTTGGCGTGATAGCTTGAACTGATTCACATATATGCGATGTTTCATATGGTTTCATACCTAACAAAGTCGGTGGTTTTCAGTTGTGATTAGTCTCATATTTTGAAGAAAACAACGGCCCATTACTACATGGTTTTCAATAACATCATCGTCAATTGCACATCCACATCCTATAAAGTACAATTCGACGTGTATTGCTAACTTATTAAAATTTCAATAATACAATTAAACAACTGAAATATACTAATATTTTCTTGGAATGCTTATTAGAAAATACACGTGCTCATATATGTATACAGACTATAAAAGTCATACATGTCATCTGGCACTTTTTACAAAAACAAGAAAAGAATTACTCTACTTTAATGCGTGTAGAAATGTCTATTTTATCCATATGTAAGTATATATATATATATATATATATATATATATATATATATATCGATTTAATATTATGCTGTACGAACGATCAGTTGTTATTTCTATTAATAAAACACTTCTGTTTTTATTGGCATTGATCTATAAATGATATTTACTATGATTATCATCTCATTTTTAGTTTTCTACTGGATGCTTGTAAAACCTGTTCTCGGGTGTGTGTGTGTGTGTGTCGATCACTATATCTATTCGTCGTTTATACTAAGTTTTCTATCCGAAAAATATCAATAAGTAAATACAGGAAAATTTAATAGAATATTATATATAAAAAGAATGTGTCGTTAGAGTACACGACAGGAATAGACTTGTAACAATTACATGAATGAAGGTATTCCATTTTTGTTAGTTGACTAGACATGTTACGCAGACACAGACAGGATTACTCAGCACTGCATCAATTAAATAGGTTAGATAAACTTGTCAGACTGTAATTCCATGTAATGGATTGTAAATCACTCTGGGTCTCCGGTTTAAGGTCAGTTCTAAGTAGTTATTTGAATAACAGATTTACATTTTGATCAGTAGTTCAGTCAAATTCAACGTTGAGCCTAGCAAGAAATGTGTAAGCCTGAGCTACTATGCTAGATTAACACGGGATGAAGTTAATTAGGTGGATACAAGGCAGACCGATATATTGTTTTACCAATCATAATAGAGGAAGACAAAGCATTCCTGATATGGTGTCAGAAGAAGGAATGAAAAAGTATGCATGGAGGAATATTATAACTTAATATTTAAAAGATAAAGAGTGAATGTATCCACGTTACTGTAACGGATTTTGAACCATGCTACCGAACGTATCCAACCACTGATCTAAGTTAACATCCAGACCCTTGCCAGGCAGTTTGCACCTACTTACAGTGTTCAGCCCAACAGTCATTAACGGTATAGACTTATGCCACTCTTTGGTTTGTTCACCCGTAGTTTCCTTCTAACCGATTCCTACTCCAACTAACATTACTTTTCATAAAACCAAATTAGTAATCCATTAAGTTGATTTAAATGATAATGTTAGTAGTTTATCATTTATAACTAACATCAATGTGTAGTTGAAAATTTCCAAAGCTGAATATGCTTCTATTTTTCATGAAAACACAACACAGTTATACTATATTATATGAATGTTTATTGATCTAATATGATGGTTAGTTCAAGTTAGGAATAATTTTAGCTATAAATTATCGTATATCTAGCTGAAAATTCCTATGGAACACTGTTCCTGGTTTCTTGCAATTAGCAGTTGTCTGTCCCTTGATAAATCATTCTGTGTTCTTAAATGCTTGGCTAAATAAATATTTGGTGCTCAGTCTAAATTTTTATTTTTAAGTTGCCATGAAACTTAAAATCACTACCAGTTGAGAGCATTCGTATCGTAAAACAACCACCATGAAAACAGGATTTCACACTTATCAATGTTGTTCAGTTGATTTTGATTACTTTTGTATGTAATGTCAGCTTATTATAAATGAATATCTTCATAGTCAACTAAAAATCCATAAAAATGAACTTTAAATGACATGGATTTTTCCGACATGAACTAATTAACAATGTCTCAGAATTATTGTCTAGACATTATCATCAAGGTTAGTACAACTAGCTTCCGTTCTATAGTTTTTCCTTCAATACTATTTTATTTCAGGCAGTCATTGTAATGTTGACCCTGAGACATAAGATGTCCGTTCAGGTCGCCATGTCACACTAGCATCGCTAGATAAAATTGTCAAAACAAATCGCAGTGTAATGGGTGTGGTAACATTC